TATTACTTAATTCTAAACTCATATCTATAAATTTATTTTGTAATTCACGAATGATAGGATACATTAGCGAAAGAGTGGGATACTTGCTTCCTGAAAAGAATTTAGTTGCATGCTCTAATGGTTTTAATGCATTTACAATTCTTTTTAACAAATCTCACTCATAATCTTTTAATAGTAAATGAGACAATTTTTGACTGTCTCTTTTATTTTCTTTTTCTTTCTTTAAGGGCAACACGGATGCTAACCATGTTATTGCATCTTTTAATTCTAAGAGTCTTGTCCATGAATAGTAACTAGAGTTCCATCTAGTACAAATATCAGTGATATTAGCAACACTTTTATTGTAGATTCATCAATTTCACTATCTTCATCCTCTTCTTTTGAACCAATTTCTTCATCTATATCAAGAGCTGATAATGGATTAAATCAAACAATTTCAACATCCTCTTCTTGAATATGATTTTGTCATACAAGATCTATTTGTGCTTCATCAAGCTGCTCGGATTGTTTAACTGATTCTATAAAAAATTTTACCAATTCTTTGAACCTTTTTATATAAGGACCAATTTTTTTTAGACCCTTCATCACTGATAATTGAAGAGCATAAGCGGAACAGGGTAACCATTCAATATCTTCCCACATGCTAAAAGCTTTTTTCATATTGGAACCATTATCAGTGACTCCTAAAAATAATTTTTTATTTAATTGGTAGATCGTCAGTCATCTAAACAAAATGATCTACAAATACTAATTAAAAATGACACACTTTTATTAATTAAAAACTGGTTTTAGAAATGTATAGATTTTTATATATGTATGTATATACGTACGTATGTACATACATACGTATAGATGTATATAGAATCTACGATTGTCTTGCACAAGTTTTTACTTGTGCTAAACACTAGATCTGACTAAGTCAATACAAGATCCCTAAAATACTAAACCCACCATGATTTAGATTCAAGTACAAACCGCGAAATCTTTATTAATTAATCACGTTTTTTCACTTAGCTAGGTGTATACTAGATCTGAGTCTATTAAAGAATTTTAAAATTGGTGAAATGTAAAAAATCCAGGTCTTGTATATACACCTTTACGATACATATTGGTAGGTATGAATTACATTTTAAAAGAACTAATATATTACGTAAAAGAATTATATTTATAACTAACAAGAGCTTGGCGATAACATATATTGATCATAATATATAAAACTCGATACTACTCTACACAGTAGAGTACAGTATATCCTCGATATAACAAACCTTGATAGCCACTATAACGAAGAATTTGTCTAGCCGAAATTATAGATTCATTATAGTTAAGTACTTCAATATAACAAAATTATGATATATTGAACCAAACACCTCAGCTTCAGAGCTTTGTTATATCGAGGTTAGACTGTATATCAATTTTAGAAATTTATTTGCTGAGTATCATCTTGTAAAATCAAAGACCTATTATATGAACCACGAACTCCAGTAGATCAGATGATATGGCTATAAAAAGCGAAGCATTACAGGTGTGATTTTATGAAGATTATATCCTTGTTTTAGA